AGGTGTGAGGGGAGAGGGGTCGGTTTGGGGCTCTGTGAGGGATTTCTCTCGGGGAGCGGCTGAGGAGCTCTGTGCCCTCGCGGGCAGCGCTGTATGTTCTCTCCGCGGGCTCTTCACCCCCTGCCCGGGCAGCTCCTCGGTGCCCCCGTGTCTGGGCACACCGCGCGGGTTGGGCTGCAGCCAGGGCATCCCCCCGGGCTCATCGTGCCTGAGGGAGTGAGATCCTCCTGACACTCTGCAGGGTTAGGGCTGTGGCAGTGGGTGATGGTTTGGAATAAGAGATTTGCCCCTGTGTAAGGGTGACAAGCACATTGTCAAAGTTTTGTGCAGGAAGTTTTGTGAGAGCTGCTCACAACCCCAAAAGTTGTTCCTGTGTCGCTTCAGGTGCTGAATAAACTGCCCCAACTCCATGTATGGACTGTAATACCTAGTTCTAATCACACAGCAAGTTTCTACCCATCCGTTTCCTCATACTGGGTTAAAAAAAGTATAGAAACCAGACACTTGTCTACTGATTTGTTTACTCCAATCACAGTGTCGATATGAGAAGGAAATTTCAGTATAAGAATTTAAACTTCTAGTCTTGCTGTAACTATGGTTAATTTTTTTTTTGTTGATCTAAAGTATAAAATAAACTGACACCAATACAAATCTAGAAGTGACAGTTTGTTTCTTGCTACAATGACTAAACTAGTGCTGGTTCTCACATTTTGTATTGCTTCATGCTTGGTCTTTTTTTTTCCCTTTGTGTCCCTTCCAGTTTCAGTCACATCACAAGGGGAAGAAGAAATGAGTGGGACACATCTAGAGGATCTTAAAAATCTGTTACCATAAATTAATAATGCTAAAAAGGAAGAAGAGAGCTTTTCTTGTGTTAATCCTCCCACCTGGATATTCTGTTTGGATCTTTGCAAAGCAGCCTCTGAATAATCACAGTGACTTTCTTCCACTGATGAAAAATAAATGCTGTTTTGGAAAAAAAAAAGACATTGAGATGCAGTTTGGGGATTAAAAGAGCATTAATATGTAACTATATGTCACCGTATGTTACTATATGTATGTAAATAAGTAACTATAACTGGGATGTGGATTTTATTTCACAGGATGGGATAGGCTGGAAGGGACCACAGTGGCTCATCTGGTCCCTACTCAAGCAGGGTCAGCCCAGAGCACATGGCACAGGATGGAGTCCAGATGGTTCTGGAATATCTCCACTGAGGGAGACTCCACAGCCTCTCTGGGCAGTCTGTTCAGTGCTTGGTCACCCACACAATAAAGTTCTTCCTCATGGTGGTACTTCCTATGTATCAGTTTTTGCCTGTTGCTGGGCCCCATGGAGCAGAGCCTGATCCATCCTCTGACTCCTCCTGCAGACACTCACGGGCAGTGATGAGGTTCCCTCTCAGTGCCTCTTCTCCAGGCCAAACAGCCGCAGCTCCCTCAGCCTGTCCTGGTGAGAGAGATGTTCCAGACCCCTAATCATCTTTGTGGGACTTGCTCCAGGAGCTCTGTGTCTTTCTGATCCTGAGGAGCCCAGAACTGGACACAGCACTCCAGGGGAGTTCTGCATTTCCTTCCCCATGTTTTAGGCCAGCATTAAAGTGAAGCTGATTTAGCTGACTGCTCCATCCCTGACCTGGAGTCCCAACAGAAGAGAGAGGAGATGGTAACAGGAAAATCTGACACTGGCACAGGTTGCCCAGGGAAACTGTGGCTGCCCCAACCCTGGCAGTGTTCACAGCCAGGCTGGATGAGCCTTGAGCAACCTGCTCTGGTGGGATGTGTTTCTGCCCAGGGCAGGGGGTTGGGACTGGATGACCTATAAGATCCATTCCAACCCCTAAATTCTATGATTCTATGAAAAAGTAGCCGTTCAGTAAAAGGTTAAGGGTCTCACTTCCATCCCTTGGAATGTTCAAGTCCAGGTTGGATGGGGCTTGGAGGAACCTGCTCTGGTGGGAGGTGTCCCTGCCCAGGGCTAGAGGGTTGGACTAGATGACCTTTAAATCCTTTCCAACCTAAGCCATTCTGTAATTCAATGATTCTATAATTCTGTGTAATTACTAAACCCAAAAGCTTTTCCTTGAGACAAAGAAGGGAAAGATCATGACGACTCTGCTCTCCTGAGTCACTGAGATGAGGCAGAAGCATCGTGCAGAGCATGATATACACAATTTCTCCCAGATGGAATTCATTTTCCCTTTGGAATGAACGTGTGTTTGAATTCAGTTAATTAAACACCTTAGATGACTTGCTAGGAGGGGTTTTTTTGTTGTTTCGCTTGTTTTTTTCCCTTGCTGGGTGTTATCTAGTGGCTAGAGATTATAATTTTTAAAACCAAATCTTTTTATTGTAAGGATGAAGAGATTTTTCCCCATTTTCAGCAGGGAAAGTGTGATAAAACTGCATTTCCCACAGTGCACAAGGGGCTCTGTGCTGGGTCAGCTGATGCAGGGCGTGAAATGGTTTTATTTCCTGTGGAGCGCATGGAAATGAGTTGTGTGTGCGAATGGCTCATCTTCCCTTCGTCAGGTGATTGAAGGGCTGGAGCAGAGTCCTGCTTGAGGAAGGACTCCTGGAAGGAGCTGAGCTGGTTCACCTGCTCCGTATGGGCGAAATGCTCCGTGCATCGAGGGATGCGATGAACTGACACACTGCACTCAGCGCCCGCAACTTCATGGGAAAAGGTAGAGAGAATCTCGGGCTTTATTCTCCTGCACCACACCTTTCTTTGCTTTGCTTCTGGTTTTTCTTTCAAGTTACTGATTTTACTGTACATGAGTTCTCATATTGCTTGATTAACTGAGGTTTGTATTGTTGCAGCTACTTGAATGATCATAATTTTCAAACCTTTCTCTCTTTTATCCTTTTGCTCTTTTTGTTGTTGTTTTTAGCAGAGATTAAGAGGAAACTTTTAAAAGAAAAAAGAGCCCGACTGAACCTGAAGGCTCAGCAAGAAAGCCCAAAATGTCTTCTGAAGCTAAAAGACTTTTCAACATCATTATTTTGGGGCTCTCGTTTATGTTTATATTCACTGCTTTCCAGACATGTGGAAACATCGCGGTAGGTGTGAGTTTCAAAACATCTCTGTCACATCCTCACATCCTCTCTTGTCTTTTGTGTGCTTTAATGTTGCTTTATTTATTTGTGTTGTGGTTTACTTTGTAAGTTTTCTGCCTTGCAAGATACTCTATAACGTTTTGTCTCCTCTTGGTGTAGTGTTAACGAGATTAAGTTGGTTAACTGAGTAATTAAGCAGCCTGTTTCTTTAAGACAGCATAGCTACATATGTAAGTGTGCCTGATTGCTTAGGAAGCAGAAAATTAGTCTTATAAAATGTTTGAACCTTAAAACATTGCCTACTTTGGCACTTGCAGTATTGAGCAGCTGAATTACACGGAACCTTCTATATTCTGTATAGTCCCTTTCAAAATATTTGCCTAAATTGTTATTAAACATTAACTAGTTTTTCTTAATCAAACATATTTTTTCTCTTCTAACAAACTAGACATTGAGGATAACACCTGACAAACAGTCAGACTTTCACAATTGCTCAACTGCCAAGTTACCTTCCAGCTGAAGGAGTTATTTACTGCTTCAGTATTATGTATCTCTTTGTCTGCAGGACCAAAATTGAGCATAACCTAACTCAAATTTATTATCACTATTGGAATATATATTCTCCTGCTGCTGGCAGACTTAGCCCAGGTCCTTTAGCTTCCTGAGTGCTGACATTGCTTTCACTGCTAGTTCTGTGCCTGAAGGGCAGTTAGATTTCAACATCCCTCTGAAGCCTAGAGGTCTTACAGCTCTTCCCTTGCATGCAAGGAGAATCCTTTCTGGGTTCAGACACATAAATATCCTTCACTGCAGTATGGAATAAGTACCTGGAGTAGTTTCTGTGAGCCACAGTGCTATGTGACAATGTACATCAGCACATAAGTACATTATCACACTGCACTAAGTACAGCCCAGTGATATTAGAAGTTCTGTGATTAATTCGCAGCACCTCACTGACCTGGACTTTGTGATCATGTAATTTATTGTCATAAAAGCCTTCACAAGTGACTTGCAATCAGATCTGCCTGTCAGTCCAACTAATGACATGGTCTTATGATCACTAAAGCTGATTCAAGGGAAAAAAAAAAAGGAACAGGGAAATAACGGGAAGCCAAAAAGAATGGAAACTGTTATCTCAGAAATTCAGTTAGGTCAACTTAAGAATATTTTGAAGCTTCTCCATTTTCTCCATACTTTTTAAATTATGGTAGTCATACATATCTACCTAAGAGAGTTCTTTAGGGAAACAAAAGTTTTGTGAAGTATTTTAAAGTCTCTGATGAAATCATGATTCAATCATAAAGTGCTAATTACACCTTCAGAGATGTTTCCCTGCCAAGTATCCCTGGTATCTTTGTTATGGAGGTGGTGTGAGTTGTAATTAACACTTTCAATTCTGCTAAGTACTTTGTAGAGCCTGTTAATGGTTAATTCTAGTGTTGGATACTGACTTCAGATTGATGCAAGTGTTCTCACACTGCAAGATATATTCTTACCTGTTACCATGTCTGATTTTCTCCTCACAGCAAACTGTTATCACAAATTTAAACAGCACAGACTTCCACGGCAGTGGCTACACAAGGTAATTTACACAGATTTTCTTCTTCCTTTGCTCCTTGCAGGATGAAGCTAGTTGCAGTTTCCTCCAGTAGAGATATGCTCTCAGGATTGGAGTGTTCTGCTGACTTCACACTTTATTGCCATACTTAGGGCAGTTTAAAGCAGCTTCTCACAGTTCTGCTCTGGATCGTTTCTAGTTGAACTACATACCTGGTTTGCATGTTTGCTTTATAGGGAGAACACCACCACCATCACATTCTCAGCTTTTTATCTTGGGAGATGAGTGAGGTGGAAGTTTAAAAATAGACCTAACTGCTGACTCAGGCCTTGATTGTTTGCCCTTGTCCACCTCTGTGTGTTTGTGCAGAGCAGGTGGTGTGGATCAACTCCCAGGATATCCTGCAACAGAAATGTGAAAGGAGCAGTCAGAGTAGGCAAAGCCACAAAAACCCTTTCTCTTTGTTGCACTGGCAGAGTTGATTTGAATGCCCAATTAATCCATCATGTAGGAAAACCTCATTACTGCTTTGAATGGTTTACTGTCTTAGTTGAAACTGAAAATACAACTGGCACAGGATATATCTATAAGATTTCTGTCATGTGTTTGGCAGAAAATGAAAAACTAATGAGTTTTTCATTAGTAGTTGACTAAGGTTCTGGAATATTCTCCTCTAGAAGTACAGGGTACAAAATACAGTAACTGTTGTTACCTTACGTTTGTACTTAACTGGGTATTTTGAAATCCACTGATCACTCTCAAACAGTGATACCTTATATTTAAGTATCTAATCATCTTTGGTTTTTTCATGTAGCATGTCCATTATTTATGGAGTATTCTCTGCATCAAATCTTCTCTCACCTTCAGTGGTTGCAATAGTAGGACCTCAACTCTCCATGGTTGTTAGTGGCATATTTTATAGGTAAGTATTAATTTTGAGTTTTTCTCTGCTTCCTTTGAAGGGTTCCTTTCATTTTTTCCACACCTAAGGCTATTGTGCCATACATGAAGTTGTACTGGCTAAGAAATGCACCTCACAGAGATACTGCAGATGTGGAACTGCAGAGTGCTTCAGCCTAGTGCAAACAGCACATATATTTTCTGCAGCATTTCCAGATTTTGCTGACTGTGGAGTTCAGGTTATGGTCTCAGATTAATGACTATGTATAAAGATTTCTGTGTAGTTAGTAGGGTAAAAGGATTTTTCACATACAACCTAACCTGTTTTCCAGTGTCCCTTTGGGGAGAGTAGCTGATTTAGAAGCAGCTAAGGGAGTTACCTGATTGCTAAAGAGCATTGTCCAGTTGGAGTCTGTATTCAATAACTGATCTGTTCTATTCTAGCCTATATATTGCAGTCTTTATCCAACCTACTACATGGGCTTTCTACACTGCTTCTGTTTTTATTGGCATTGCAGCTGCTGGTAAGCATTTTTCATACTCTGCTGTCTGTTTTTTACTAGATTTGAATGTACCTCTCAAATATTTTTATATTCTGAGCAATATACTCTGTCTCTTTCAGTCCTCTGGACAGCACAGGGAAATTGCTTGACTGTAAATTCTGATGAAAACACCATTGGAAGGAACAGTGGAGTATTTTGGGCACTCCTGCAGTTCAGGTGAGCTTTATTTGTTCATTTCTTTTTGGCTGTATATGTATTCTGCTTTTTACATCTTTTTATAAGTGAGATACTGCATCCAAAAATGTTCCACTGCTACCTTGCAGTCAGTGAAGAGCGAGGAAGAGATGGAAGCAAAGTTTCTATTGCTATTGTGCATTACAGAGCAGTGAATGAAAGTTGGAAATATTGCCACCACCTTGTCTTGGTTGTTGAATAGCTAAAGTTGTGGGGCAGAATCTTGTACTGAGGTTGAAGTTTTCTATGGAATAAGCAGTTGTCATGGGGAGTGACTGGTGTATCTCTCTCTAATTGCACAGTCCTGTTTTTTGCATAGAATATTACTGCTGTGATGCTACAACCTGAATCTTACTACAAGAAGTGCTGCTCACCTTTGTTGTTCTCTTTGTTTACAGCTTGTTTTTTGGAAACCTCTATATATACTTTGCTTGGCAAGGAAAAACTCACATATCAGGTGGGAACTGCTCGTTTATGTGTCCATCCTTGAAACACAGTAGCATGAATAAACAGGTGAAATAATTAACTAGGAAGTGGCAAGAAACTTATACAATAGCAGACAATTTCCCCCCCAGTTTATTGTTAGGCTCTCTTTTGGAGTATGATTTTGATTCAGTGTTCCTGTATTGTGTATGTTGTTTTCCTGCAAGCAATGCACTTTGAGTACCTTCTCTTAGGGCATTGTCTATGAGAGGTGAGAATAAGATTTTCCCCAATAGCTACTTTGGGATTTTCCCTGTGCAGACACACCTATGCCAAAATACACATACCTGGGGGGAAAGCTATACTGGCTCTATGTTTAACATACACACTATCCCATGCCAAAGTAAGTTCCTGGTGTCGACTCTCCTCTTAAATCATATTGGAGATGGATTAACCTATAAAATAAAGGAAAACCATCCCAGTTCAGTTTATGGTTGCACTAATCATTGTGCAGTGTAGGACACAGAGGCTGAGATGTGCAGCTGTGCTGAACTGGCAGCATTGCTGACAGAGTGGAGAAAGAACTCACTCTTCCTTTCTTGGCATAGTTTATGCAGACAAACTTCCTAATGGGGTTGTAATTCATACTGTAGTTTTTTCATTTGACATTGTGCTAGACTGGTAAGGGGCAGGAATGGGAGAAGAGAAGATTTTATTCCTGTTTTTAAGCTGGACAGTGGTTGAGACTCAGTGTTCTTAAAGCAAAAACTTTTGGCAGCTGTTTGAGTAAGCCAGGCAAGGTGTGTGGGGTGTTCACTAGGAAAACTGCAGTAGTGAAAATGAGAAAAGGCTAAGATTTTAGTTACCAAACATGAGCATTGCTGGGAAAACAACATTTTGTAAACAAACAAAGTTGACTGTCCTGTTCTGTAGTGGCTATGAAAGTTTTCCTTACTATTGTATTAATGTAAACTATCTGTTAGAAATAGTCAATGCCTTTAACAAATGAGGATTCTTCTGCTCTAGTCAATGAGGAATAAGATGTTGATGTAGGCTTCAGAAATAACTGCTTTGTTGAGATGAGCAGTTCCCTTCTTGCTTTTGTTAGATCCATCATTTCAGGCCCTCCAGACTCAGTAGTGCAGCACAGGTTAATTTTACAGGTCATCTTTCTAATTCCCTCACCTTTAACACAAAGGTTTAAGTGCTATTGAAGGTAATGGAGACACTTTGAACCTGGGAGGGCTGAAATTCTGTGCATTCTTAATTTCATTGCTCTTACTAACCAGAGAGTAGAGCAATTCACTGAGGAAGCTCTGCTACATTTTCCTCCATTTTTAAATGTTCTGAGATTGCTCTTTGGTAAAAAAATTTGGTGTAAAAAAGGTTTAACAGCATTTAAAAAATCAAATCTTACTTTTACTACCCATCTAAAAATATGACAGATTCTCCATGGTGTGAAACACATTCTCTTTTTGATCTCTAATAATACACAAGTATTTTGGGAACAATTTTGCATTTACCTCTAAAGGGGAAATAAATACAAGTATAGGCAATATCTTCAGAGTCACACACTAGTTCAAGCTCAACCTTTTGCTACTTCTTGGCTTTTTTTCCCATTGGTAAATGGGAGTGACTTGTGTATTACAGATGTGCCTGTGCTAGATGAGGTGGTTAGTGCAGCAGAGCTGGTGCACAGGGCAGCAGTTACCTCCCTCCAGCTGCTGTGGCAGTTACTGAGGTTTGGGAGATTTATCTCTCTTTGTAGCTCCCAAACCTACAAGTTTGTGATGTCATGGTGCTAATATTTCTATCCTAATAGTAATCCTTATTAATGTTTTAGCAATCTGAAGGGATGTGGGGTAGTTTTGTGTCCACTCTGACTTATATAAGTCTTCAAAGATGTACTTTTTCCTGCTAATAATTTATGCACTTCCTTTAATTGGCTGCTCCTTGGTGATAGCCTTTGCATGGCAGAAAATGGAGACACTCTTTAATGTGCTGCTATTTTATTAGCATCATAAAACTGAGACAGGAATTTGCCAGCAGCTGGGTGCCTCCATGTGGAAGGTAAGCTAGAAAATTAGTGTATGTGTTAAACACCGTTGTGTAGTATGTCTGTATTAGTTCTTTGGAGGTAGATGAGTTGGCTTGAATTGCTTTTGCACATCTGGTTATGGCTCTTGTTTGTTTTTCCACAGAGAGCGATCGCAGAACTGTCTTCATTGCTCTGACTGTTATCAGTCTTGTGGGCACAGTTTTGTTCTTTCTGATTAGGAAACAAGAGGACACAAAAACTCCAGGGGAGGAGGATTCTGCTAATGAAATCCTGGGGGACAGCTCGTAAGTGCTTCTGGCAATAACATGTTGTCACATCTACTTGTTTGTGCTCTTACTCCGCAGTGGAACATTGTGCATTCACTTTCTCCTCTGCACTGGAGACATGAATGTTATCAGCAACCTGTAGAACTTACAGATTTAATTGGGAAAGGGTTTTCATCTCTTCTCCACTGATTGTTAATACACACAGATCTGCCTTTCATAGTCTGTTTTGTCCTCGTCAGACCAGTTTAAGGGCTGGGATAGGCAGATAGGAACAGTGTGGTCATCAAGGCCAGGGAGGTGATTCTACCCCTGCTCTCAGAGCTGGTGAGGGCACACCTTGAATCCTATGCTCAGCTCTGGGCCCCTCAGTTCAGGAGGGGCATTGAGGGGCTGGAGCAGGTCCAGAGAAGAGCAACGAGGCTGGTGAAGGGACTGGAGCACAAGTGCCATGAGGAGAGGCTGAGGGAGCTGGGGGTGTTCAGCCTGGAGAAGAGGAGGCTCAAGGGAGACCTTCTCCCCCTCTACGACTCCCTGACAGGAGGTTGGAGTCAGGTGGGGGTTGGTCTCTTCTCCCAGGCAACCAGCAGCAGGACAAGAGGGCACAGACTCAAGCTCTGCCAGGGGAGGGTTAGGTTGGATATTAGGAAGAGTTTTTTTACAGAAAGAGTAATCAGACAGACAGTGGAATGTGCTGCCCAGGGAGGTGGTGGATTCACCATCCCTGGAGGTTTTCAAGCTGAGGCTGGATGTGGCACTTAGTGCCATGGGCTAGTGACCACAGTAGGGTTGGACTTGATGATCTTTGAGGTCTCTTCCAACCCTGTTGATTCTATCATTCTATGAAATTACTTCCTTTTTATAAGTTATTTTTTGCAAACTGAAACACGTTATTCCTTCCTCCTCTAAATATATATGCACCACCCTGATACATACTTTAGCAATGCACAGGTGCACAGATAGATTTGGTGTAGTGTTGCCTGAAGCATCATTTTAAATATTTTTGCTTTATTTAAATAAAGCACAGTGAAAATGTTAGAAAAACATCAGTAAGTGTGTCTGTGAGAAAATGCTGGCAGCTAAAAATGCTCCCAAGAAAGATTCTGTTGAGCAAACATCCACTAGTGCAGAGAGCAAATGAATTTTGTGGTTGGTAGTTTATATCTTAGAAACTTTTATTAATGTATTGGTATATTCTAGTGTATAGTTTTGGGCTAGGAAATATACAGAAGATTTGAAAAATGAAGCTGCCCTGCAGCATAGCAATACAGGGTGGTTGTGATTTTTTCCATGTGTTTACCCAGGTCTGCACACAACAGGATGCTGAGAGCAGTGGCTGCCTTCAGTAAGTAGAGTTCCACACAGGAATTGCTTCAGAAAATGTGACATATCCTTTCCAGCTCTCTGTGGTTCTGCTGATAATGTGATCCTATACAAATCACTTGGAACAAAAATGTGTGAACAAGTAACGTTTTCAGAATGCATTTCAGTTATTCCAGTTCTCCTGCAGACCTTCAGGAATGGTCTCTGTGGAAAAATGACTGCCAGATGGCAGTGGTTTTCAGCCCAGAGATGACATTTCACACAGGGACACAAGACTGATGAGTTCTGAGCCTGACAGGAATTCAGTTATCTGTGTGAGCATCTGTGATTTTTGAGCCTATCCAAAATGGAGCTTGGAACTGGAAAATCCTGGGAAGCACTGAACTCATATATGGGCACATTGCTGCTGAGGTGGGGCTGGTGTGAGCTGTCTGTCTGCACTTCAGTGCTCCTTTCAGCTGGCCATGTCATACAAACAAAGCCTGACTTCAAGGAAAGAAAGTCAAGTGGTCTTCAATCACATCCTAGTGGAGTCCAGGGAAAAAATTGGGGCATTCCATCTTTGATGTACTCTCAGATCCAAGTTGCTTTACAATAGCTTCCTTGTATAGATGAGCAGAGAAACCACAGGTCACCACTTGGGAAAGCAAATGTGTGAAAGTTCAAAAAAAATCAAAGTGAAAAATAACAAACACAAGATAAAAAGAAGTTAAATCTTGTTTTATTTTGTCATCAAATATCACCAGTAATAATGTAGAACTGGAGCATCTGCAGTTTCCTTTGAAGCTTGTTGTGCTCTGCCTGTGGCTGTTAAGTTAGTTTTGAGAATTCACTGGGAATTTATTTGGCCTTTCAAGAAACAATTGCCATGAACTGACAGAAATACAATGAGCAGAAAATTGTCTGGTAATTGAAAACTGTGTATCTCCTCTGTAATATTTCCCACATTGCATTTCTTACCAAAAAATGATTAATTTCTTCCAGATGGCAGGTTAGGGTTGGTTTATTTAGCACTCTGGTTACTGTAATAAACAGTAAATAAAAGTGTAATTTACAGTTTATATAATTTTAACCTACTTTTGCTTTAAGCAAAGAGCAAAAGAAAGTGCAGATTATCTCAGTAGTATTATCAGAAGTTATATTAATTTCCAGTATTGTTTCTTTACAGAGAAATCTATTACACTGAGCTTCACGAAAGAAATGATGCTTCTCAGTGTCACAACAGCCTACACAGGTAAGAACCAGCAGAGTGTGTCACTGTGGAGCAGTGTCAGGGCATCATTGGGAATTTTAACCCCAGCTCTGCAATTCCAGAGAATCCTGGAATCAACTGGCTTGGAAAAGGCCTCCAAGACCATCAAGTCCAACCCTACCGTGGTTACTAGCCCATGGCACTAAGTGCCACATCCAGTCTCAGCTTGAAAACCTCCAGGGATGGTGAATCCATCACCTCCCTGGGCAGCCCATTCCAATGCCTGATCACTCTCTCTGTAAAAAAGTCTCTTCCAGTTTATATTTCTGCCTTTCAAGAACTTTGGAGTTTCATCCCAAAGTGCCATGTGAAATAACACCAAGTCATTGAAGAAAAAGCACAATTTGAGGGTAAGATTATCTTCCCCTCTTAGTTATGATACTCCTGAGGAAGCCCTTGCATCCCCAAGTATCAATAAGGAGCTAAGATTCCTAACATGGACTTTTCTACACAGAACATAGTGAATTTAAACTGAGAGAGAACAGCTGCTATTTGTTTAAACCACTTCTTTCTTTACCATTAGTGTGAGAAAAGATGACAGAGCTGAGTCTAGTCCAGTCTTGGATTTTTTGTGGCAAATAGTAATGCCAAAATGTAGCAAATTAGTATTTGGTGTATTCTCTCTCTTTTTAGCAACTCTTAGTTAAACCTGTTTTGCCATTGTTAGACCAAGGTGTGAGTTGCAAAATAAGAATGTGTTTTTGCCATTACTCAAGTGATTCTTCCACAAAAATACTATTAAATGTTTCTGAGCTCTTCAAATTGGTTTTTCTTGCTCCTTGTTTGGCTTCAGATGTAGTTCTGTTCATGATCAAATCAAGTTTTCCTGAAGAATAGATGCATTTTCAGAACCTGAGCTCTGAGTGCCTGTTATGAAAAATGGTTAGCTCTTGGAGGTGAAAAGAAAAACTTAGATCAAGCTATAGACAGTGCCACAACATCTGCTGAAGGTTACAGTCACCTTCTGGGAGAGAAATAGCAATAGTAGCTCTGGAGTCATCTTGCTCCAGCCACTAATCTGAGTTACAAATTCCTTCACACTTCTCAGTGTTGTGTTAACCCGAATTAACTCACTCGAATCCCTCTTAAATGATTAGTGCAATGGGAATGTGGAGCAAGGTAATGAGGTAAAGGAGCCAGTCAGGTTTTCCCTGTGTATTCTGAAGTTTGGTTTTACAGGTGGCAGCAAAATAAATCATTCCAGGTTGGGAGTAACGGCCACTGCCATCTGCTGGCTCAGGATTGCCAATAGTGCCACTCTTTGTGGCAAAATACAAAATCCCATAAGGCAAACAAAAGGTTTTATTCCCAAGTCGATGGTTGGGTTAAGACTGCTCCAAGTCCTCCCCTGTTCTGGAGCTGTGCAGCTCATCTGCCATGTGAGGTGACCTGGTACATGCAGACCAGGAAATGCTCTACCATAGTTTTGCTGTAGCAAAAGGCAAAGGAGGTAAATTAAGAGTTTTATTTTGAGCTGTTTTTTTTCTGTTTAGGCATAAGACTTTGCATTGTTTTAAACATCCTTTTTGTTAAGGAGCTGCTATTTTTATACTGGTGGTTGCTTGTGGTCATGTTAGTTGGACTCAGCTGTGTCACCTTTTCTCACACTGATGGTACAGGAGAGAGAAGTGTTTTAAGCAAATAGCAGTTGTTCTTTCTCAGTTTAAATTAATTATGTTCTGTGTAGAAAAGTCCATATAAGGAATCTTAGCTCCTTATTGATATTTGGAGTTACAAGCACTTCCTTAGGAATATCATAACTTGGAGAGGGGAACTCTTGCCCTGAAATTGTGCTTTTTTTTCAGTGACTTAAGTGTTTTATTTCACATGGCACTTTGGGATGAATCTCCAAAGTTCTTACACAGTTTATATTTCTACTTTTCATAGGGATTATGTCGACAGAAGTGAGTGACACCAGTTGGTGACAGTGTTTTTTCTAGTGTGGTTTTTGTAAACTGGCATAGGGGAATATACATACTTTAAAATTCCCTCTTTGCTTCTATTACACATACCTGATCTACAAACATGTTTTAGAAGATACCTGAGGGGAAAACAACCTTTTTGTCATGACTTTCCTAACAGTTCATCTATCAATTCTGTTTGGTTCCCTTCAAAGGTTTGCAATTAACATTCTTTTCTGGAGTGTATGGAACATGCATTGGTGCTGTGAACAGGTTTGGCAGCGAAGAGAAAAGCCTCATTGGTCTCTCTGGTATTTTTATTGGTGTTGGAGAAATCTTGGGTGAGTCTTAATTTACTACCTTGAGGCAAAAAACCCAAAGGATTGGGATGATGTAGTTATTCAGAAAGGGTTTTTCTATTTAACTGGATAGTGAGTTTCAAGTTCCAGCAATGATTATGTGACCAAAAAATGAAATAGCAGAAATATAATTGGCATTGTGGTTCCTTATTGCACTGGGAATTTCATCTGACACTGTGTAAAGTGGATTTAGACCAGCAGGTGAAATCCTGATGGGTCTGAATTCTAACACTGTGTTAGGCAGTTTTGGATTAGTGCAGAGAAATGCAGGAGACTTAAAGTGAGAGAAACACTAGGCTACAGTGTCACTAGGGAATTGTAACTATTTTGCTATTCTGGTTTGAAAGAGTATCAGCTTTACATTTTTATTTTGAATGATACATAACTTATCTTAAATCAATTGTTGCATTAAGGATTCTCTCTTTAAAAAGTTAGTTGGTGTTAAATGAGATGTGATACTTGTATAAATTGGATACAGGGAATGTCCATTAAGGAAATATTTTGTAAACTTGGGAACTGTGGTGTTGAACAAAAGCCCCAGGATCTGTTCAGTAGCTGCTGGGATCCAGAGAGAGGTGCAGGCTCTTGTGATGAGGAGCTGAGCTCAAGGCTGTCTATTTTCACTTGGTACTGTTGCAATACTGGAGGAAACTGTCTGCTGGTAAGATACTGGCTAAAAGGTGAAGTGTCTTCATCAGCAATCACCTGATCAATCTCCTGTCCATGTTTCTTACACACCTCTAACAGCCCAGAGTGGCAAACAGGGCTGGCATATCTGGCAAACTCCTTGGGGCTGTTCTGGTGTTTGTTAGTCTTTCAGTTATCCAATATGAGGATGTTTAAATACTGACAATTGGAATTCTAAAGCTTTGTTCTGTTCTTTACATCTCCAGCTCTGACTCAGTCATCTTTTCTGCTCCTACAGGTGGAGGAATCTTTGGTTTGCTGAGCAAGAACAGTCGCTTTGGCAGGAACCCAGTGGTGATGTTGGGCATCCTTGTCCACTTCATAGCCTTTTATTTAATTTTTTTCAACATGCCAAATGATGCTCCTATTGCTCCTATGGAAGGAACAGATGAAGTTGCTTATATGATTCCAAGGTATGTAAGCTTTTTCCTTCACTTTATATAACTCAGGATGCACATATATATCTTAAAATCATAGAATTTAAGAGTTGGAAAGGACCTTGCAGATCATCTAGTTCCAATCCCCTGCCATGGGCAGGGACACCTCCTCACTAGATCAGCTTGCTGAAGGCCTCAAATCTTACTCCTCTCCAGAAAATTCCTTGAAGCTGCTTCTCTGTGTAGTGCTTAACTCCACAGAAGAATGTTTCAGGAATTCCTGTTTTATTAAAGGTAGAGATACTCCATCAGTGTGCTCTCAATTTAGGAACTTAAATGGCAGAAGAATAAAAAGCTTGGGGATGATTTGGAGCAGTTCTGTCACTTGACAACTGATGTTTCTGATACCTAGTACAGCAGTGAGACCAGCAACTATTGTAGTAGGTGTCAGGAATTCAGTTTGTTTTAAAACAGTCTCGGGCTCAGTTTTCCTGCCTCAGGGAGCACCAGCCTTGCACTGTTGCACTGGTTTCCAAAGTCTTTCAGTGCTTATTGCCAAATTCCACTTGGTCTAACTGAAGCCATGCTATGCCTGTTAGGGGCAGAACACAGAGATTTCTTAGCTCATCATTGCAACTTTCTTTTGGGGTGTATTTTTGCCAATCTGTGTGCAAATAGTGCTGTCAGTTTGTGCAGACACAGCTGCTAACTTGCAGTTCTGAGCATTTGTGCCTGTGCAGGTGACTAGTCTTTACTTAACTGGAGTATTTTCCTGCAAAATAAATTGGTATTTCTCTAATATTCCTGCAGTATTTATGAACTCACCATGTGTGTCTCAGCTTTTAATCACTGCTCTGTGGCTTTGTGGCTCCAAGCACTGAAATAAGTTCTTTGAGTGGTTCTAATTCAGTGTAGAATTGACTGCAGGTAGCAGGAACAGAAGTCTTGGCATTCAGGGAAGTAAAAGCTGATGAATCTATTCTTTTTGCCAAGCATTCCTAGTTCTTTTCCAGTGAAATGAAAGGTATGATAACTTTCTTTATAGATGTTTAAGCTGTTTGAATAAATGGTTTTGAAATTGGATTCACTTTCTCTTTCAGCAAAGAGGTGGCCATGCTCTGCAGCTTCCTGTTGGGGCTGGGGGACAGCTGCTTCAACACTCAGCTCCTCAGTATCTTGGGGTTCCTGTACTCAGAAGACAGTGCTCCTGCCTTTGCCATCTTTAAATTTGTCCAGGTATTGCCTAACACAACTTTTTGGAACCTAAACCTGTTGGGGTGGTCCTGAAACACTGGGTTGGGCTTTTTAATGAGCTGAGAAAAATGAGGTTGTTTCTGCAAATTATTTCATCCTGAATGTTGCTGTAGAATAGTTTGTGATGCTGGAAACAGTTTTCTGGCCTGTGTTCTTAAAGCTTTGGCTGTGTTGTTTCTAGACAAACTAGTGTGAAATACCAGAGAGCTGCACTTGCAGCTTCTGAGTTTGTGTTCATTCTCTACACTGAGCACTGTTTAAATAACAAGGAAAAACTAAATCTGTTGTGTGTCACATCAAGACATATGTTGAGGTATAATGAAGCTTTCAAATTGTCTGTCTCCTGCAGAAACATTCTACTGGGAGCTGCACATTAAGCTGTGGCTATGTCAGTTTGATAATCCTTGTGTAGTAGCACTGGCCTGGAAATCTCCACTGATAATCTTTTTACTTTGGGCTTTTTGTTGGTTTTTTTTTTTCTTCCCTTCAGTCCATCTGTGCTGCAGTTGCCTATTTCTACAGCAACTACTTCCTCCTGCAGTGGCAGCTCCTGATCATGGTGGTCGTGGGCTTCTTTGGGACAATTACCTTCTTCACAGTGGAGTGGGAAGCAGCAGCAGCTCTTGCTGCCCGTGGCTCAGACTACAGCAGCATTTGATCCCCATCCCATGCCTGATCCAGCAGAAGGAGTAACACAGCCACATTTCTCTGGGAAGTGGTGTGAGAAGGTGAAAAAGGTCAAGTTGCTGCAGAGGTTGAGATGGAAGAAGCTGCTATTAAATCACCATCAGTCCAACTGAATGTGAACAGGAGAAAAAAAGGCCCAATGTGAAAGGCTTTTTTCTTCTTGCTTTAACCAGCTGAGCATGGTCTGTGTGTCCTTAAAATCTGGTATTGGAAATGGAAGGAAATGCAGGGATCCATGTACTGAACAATTCTGTTCTGAGATGTACCTTCCAGAATGCAATTGCCTAATTTCACTCCTCCGTGCATTGCAGAATTAGTTTTGGGTTTTGGCCCCCTAAATTATTTTTCCTATATTTTAGCTCTGCAGACACATTCTTGTATTGAATGAGTGATATTTTTATAAGGTAGATGATATCCCAGAATGTGTCTGCACAACTGAGAAATCAATTTGGCATTGACTTTTCCAACAATTAGAGACACAGAACTGTGGGAAATGTTGCCTTATCCTCTATCACTCAGCTCCTTATTTCCCAGCCATGTGTTTGCTAATCTCCTTCATGTGCCCAGGTTTTCAGATCCACGGGGGTTTTGATCTGTTTGTTTTTCATTTTGTTTGGTCTTTTTTTGGTGGGTTTTTTTTTGGTAAGAAAGTGAATCAGGTTATAGTGTAACATGAAAGACCTTACCAGAATTTGAAGAAGTTACCCTTGGCCATCTTAAGGATGGATCCCAAGACCTGTGAAGTATTGGTAATTGAAAACAACCTCATGGCTCAACATCTCAGAACTGAACTGTATTGGGAGAGGTGCTGAAAATTCCTCAGGGCAGTGCTATATGAAGGACCATAATCCATTCCCTCCAAGACTCCCAAATAGTTCTTTTGAGCTCAGTGGAATTTTCTTCATAAGGTGATGAAAATCTGTGGTTGGGAGCATTGTCTAAGATAACTTTTACAAGTACAAATAGACTCAGAATGTGAACTGTCAGAATAATCTTGCAATGTTTATTCTACTGCATAGTCCGAAAACACCTGAAATGCTTTTCCTAAGTTGTTTCACTCAGTCTGTTTTGGGAAGATTGTACTGAAATCTTACTCCACTCAATATGAAAACAAGGTGACTAGCATAGCAACTAGATTTTAACCCAAACCTGTTATAGATGATATAACAGGCAGTGAATGCAGCTCACCTTGACTTTGTCTGTCTATGTTACTCCATGGTACTTGCAGTGATGTTTGTCTAGTGGGCAAACAAGATGCACCTGAGAGCAGGTATGGAACACTGAGAAGGTGTTTTGAGACACTCCATGTAGCTATTTTTAAAGTGTACCACTCACCAACCTCTTTTTCTGCACAGTCAGAATGTTAATGTCTTCTCTTTAAAGACAGGTTAAAGAAGAACTCAACTTGTTACGTGTCAGTAGCTCCCATGGGTCATAACTATGTAGGTGTACCCAAGGTTAAACTTGGTGAGGGAGGATGGCACCTCCTGTCACTTCTGCTCTCAAAGAAGTCATCTTTGACTTCTTTGAGACGTCATCTGCTGTCACTTTGGCTCTCAAGGAGCAGTGACACAGCTCCTGTGAAGCACAGCCCTCATCATGCACAGCACAACAGCCAAGGGGGATCATTTCCAGGCATAGAGAAAGGGATATTTAAATTCACTGCAGGTTTTTGCTGTGAGATCAGTGAGGTGTTAATGGGAGGATGAGAGGGCACCTGAGCATTCAGCAAGCAAAGAAATCTGTGAGGACAGGCAGGTGAGAAAGCCTTTGTGTATTCCCAGGAGATTTAATGAATGATGCAGAAGAGAATGAGACAGAACACACATCAGAGCGAGGGGTTACTGAAGCCATTCCAATTTGTCAGACAGACTGAAAGAGCATTCAGTATTCAGTCAATATGTGATTAGTGTGACCAGCAGCACACTAATGCCTCCCTTACCCACCGGTTACCCTGTCATTTGCAGTATACTATTTTTATGGACTGAGCACCAAAAAGGTATAGATGATAGGATGGTGCCAGTGATTAGAGTTCTCTTGTTTCTACACATTTATGTTTTCTCCAAAGCAGCAAAAGGGATAAAGAGCTTTTTATAATATCATAGAATCAACCAGGTTGGCAAAGACCTCCAGGATCATTGAGGTCAGCCCTACCATGGTTACTAGACCATGGCACTAAGTGCCACATCCAGTCTCATCTTGAAAACCTCCAGGGATGGTGAATCCACCACCTCCCTGAGCAGCACATTCCAATGCCTGATCACTCCCTTCTTAAAAAATCTCTTCATATCTAACCCAAACCTCCCCTGGACAGAGAGTTACTGACTTCCC